TTTCTCTCATCTCTACCCCTTCTGTTCTCTAGCCTCCTTCAAGTCCCAGCTAAAATCTTACCTTTAAGGGCAGCTAGATGGTGCAGTGCATAGAGTTCCAGCCTTGGAGTCAGGAGGACCTGAGTTCAAATCTGCCCTCAGACACTTGACACTTATTATAGCTGTGTGATCCTGGGCAAGTCACTTAACTCCAACCGCCTCACCAAAATAAAATAAAACCTCACCTCTACAAGAAGCTTTTCCTAATTCCCAGCAATGCTGGGGACTTCTTCCTATTGGTTTTCTCCAATTTATCCAGTCTACACATGGTTTGCCCATAGCTGTTTGCGTGTTGTCTTCCCCATTAGACTGGGAACTCCCTGAGGGCAGCAACTCTCTTTTGCCTTTCTTTGTATCCCCAGCAGTCTAACACAGTTTCTGGCACATAGTGGGTGCTTAATAAATGTCTATTAATTGTTTCATTGATAAATTAAAGGGGCAGCTAGGTGGTGCAGTAGATAAGAGCACCAGTCCTGGAGTCAGGAGGACCTGAGTTCAAATCTGGCCTCAGACACTTACTAGCTGTGTGACCCTGGGCAAGTCACTTAACCCCAACTGCCTAAAAAAAGATAAATTGAAGGGGATGTTTGGAACTAAGGGTTGTGGGTGTACCATATTGAAATCGATAAGGGAGAGGGGAGGTGAGAACTGAGGTAGGTCTGGCCATATCCTTCTATTCAATAAACTCCAATGGCTCCTTATCACTCCCAATAAAATCCAATTCGGCTTTTAAAGCCCTATATAACCTGGCCCCTTCCTACTTTTCTGGTCTTCTTACACCTTTCTCCCTTCCAACTCCCTTGTGACCAGTAGGTGCTTAATAACTGCTGGTTGATTGACAGTGGGGAAAGGAGGGGAATATGATTGTACTGTTGAATGGTGGGGGGAGGGTATAAGGAACGGTGTCGGGGGTAAGGAGGGGAATTTGGACTGTGTGGAAGGGGGGAAAAGACTTGAACAATGGTGGAGGGAGGGGATGGTTTAACTTGTGGGGGGTGTTGAGGAGAAGAGTTGAACTGTGTTTCAGAGGGGGAGGATGACGAGGGCTCCTCACAGAGGGACCCACTAGGGTTGCAGAGCACAAGTTCTAAGGGGACTGTCAATCAAGGGAGGGTAGTCACTTGCCTGGCCCCTGCCAAGGGGGCTAACCAGAGCTCAGTCCCCTCCAGGTACAACCATCAAGTCTTTGTCCTGAGTTTGGCCTCCAGTAGGGGGCACCAGAGGGCAAGTAACAGACCCTGGACCCTGACGAGATAAGGCAAGCAATGGAAAATTTAGCTGGAAAGGAGTCTATGCCCTAAGCCTGGGAGTTCCTCCTTATGGCCAATGTAGGCATCTGCGATACCCCTGTGCGACCAGGAGAGGGAGATGGTGGGGAGAAAAGAGTATTGGTCTTAAACCCAGCGGGATGAATTATAAAATTGAAAGCAACTGGGTGTGTGTGGGGGGGGGGAGAGAAGTGGGTGCAGGTGAGGTGACAGTGAGAGAAAATAGATTCACCGGAATCATTTCACTGGGAGAATAAACTAAATAACAAGAAAGGCGTGCCACACACCCCAGAAGAGGCCATCCCCCTTTCAATTCAAAACCTCCATAGAAGGGGAACTCGCTCCTCACAGCTGCGGAAGCAGCCCACTGGCCTTCTGGACAGCTCTTATTAGGAAGTCTTCCCTGACCGAAAGCCTACTGACTCCCCACCCACCCATTGTTCTGGGGCCAAACAGAACAGGCCCGTCCTTTTCCCACCCGACAGCCCTAAGCCAAGTGCCTGCTGCGCCTTCTCCCGGGCAGACTTAACACCAGCGCTTTTCCCTATCCATTATTACAAGCAATGCTCTCAAACCCCATCTCCGGCCTGGAGCGTCCTTGGAACACTCTCTGGCTTACGGATGTCTAAAATGTAATGCCCAGAATGGAATGCCTAGCCTCCGCTGTTAGGATCACAGATATAGAGCTGGAAGGAAAGGAACCTTAGAGCTTATTCAGCCCAACCCCCTCATTTTACAGATGTGGAAACTGAGACCCAGAAGTCAAGTGACTTGCCCAAGTCACACAAACCAGCAAATGGCAGAGCTGGGATTCAAACCCAGTTCCTCTGACTCAGCATCTGAGCTGGTTCAATTGCACTGTGTCATAAAAATTCTTATTGTCTACTAATCCTGGGCATCTCTTGGGGCTGGAATAAAGAAGGAAATGGTGGGGGATGATAGCAAGGTTTGTAAGATGAGAAAGGCAATGGAGAAAGTTCTTGGAGCTAAGAAGGTGGAAAGAAGGGGTGCTACTGACGGCTTGAGAACAGGACTGGCACAGTAGTTGTAGAGCTCAGGATCAGGAATCAGTCAGGGAGCAGCAGGAGTGCCTGGCTGCAAGCGACGACCAGTGGAGACAGAGTAACATGCCTGTAGTGGGCCCAATATGCAAGGCTTCATTACTTTCCCTCCACTCCACTCACGAGTGCATAAGTAGGAACAGAAGAGGCAGAGCAGGGTTGGCAAGGCATGACTTGCCATAGGATAAAGTGGGGAAGAGCAGACTGGGGAACTGGGAGGTGAGGAAACATCAGTATGTGTTGGGCAGCTAGGTGGCACAGTAAAGATAGCACACTGGACCTGGATTCAAATCCAGCCCGATACAGCAGGCAAGTGACAACCTCTGCCTTGGTTTCCTCAACTATAAAATGGGGGAATAACAGCATCTATACCTCCCAGGGGTGTAGCAAGGATCAAATGTGTAGAGTGCTTTTTTTCTTTTTAAGAGTAGCACTTCTGTTTGGCACAGTGCCTGGCAGACAGTAGGTACTTAATAAATGCTTGCCTCCTTCCTTCCTTAGTTAGACTGTTGTTGTCTGTCCTTCGTTCTCCAAGAGGACCATGACATCAGGGAGGTGATGCTATGACTTGCAAGTGAATTGGATTTCAGTAAGGCAGGGCTGTGCAAAGTCACCAGCCTCACCTTCTCCTCCGGATCCATCTGGGGCCAGTGGCCAGATAGAGATCAGGATGGCTAGGAATGGCCCCCTCCTCAGTAAGAGGACAGGAGCTGAAAGAGGAAAACGACTGCATGGCAGGTACTGAACTCGCTGAGAAAGGAAGGAGTGGGCAGATGAATCATCAGGATACCGCTAGACTCAGTGAGACTCAAGGAATAGGTTTCTTAGTGCTGGTAATAGCGGGAGAGTCTAGATGTGGCGCTCGGGGGAGGAGGCGGCAAGATGTATTTTACCTTTGCCTTCTGGACCAAGGATGGGAGAAAGGACTGACTGTAACCCCAGAGGAGCTGGGTCTCAGGCGACAGCTAGAAGATGAAAGCAGTATGGCACAAACAGAAATTTGTTCATTATAGAGCAAGAGTTCCAGAGAGCACAGTGGAAGCCGTGGGCAGTTCTTGATTAGGACACTGTGTGTGTGGGGGGGGGTGGAGATGGGGACCTTTGAGGGCAATGGAGAGAACAGGCAGCAGGTGTTATATATTCCCACCCCCACCCCACCCCTGCCCAGCTGAGTATAAGCCCGTAAGGGAAGGGACTGTTTCCACTTCGCATGGCTCCACAGTGTCTTGCACATAGCAGGTGTTTAATAAATGTTTGTTGAATTGAAAGGCTAGGTGACTTGTTGGGGGGAAGGGGGGAAGACATCCAGACATTAATTAATTGGCCAAACTACGATGATGACGATGATGATGCTCAGTTGCGTCCAACCCCATTTGGGGTTTTCTTGGCAAAGATACTGCAGTGGTTTGCCATTTCCTTCTCCAGATCATTTTACAGATGAGGAAACTGAGGCAAATAGGATAAAGTGACTTGCCCAGGATCACACAGCTAGTGTCTTGAGGCTGGATTTGAATTCAGGTCTTTTGGACTCCAGGCCTAGTGCTCTACCCACTACTCCAGGGCTCTTCCAACTCCAACATCAGTGTTCCTTGTACAACCTATCAGATCCATTTGGCAGCTTGGGAAACTGGCTCAGAGGAGGCCAAGTGATATGCCCACTGCCACGAAGCCAATCAGAAAACCCATTCTTTCTGCTTCCAAGTGTACCACTCTCTCCTTTCTCCTGAACAACTGCTTAGCTTCAGGCCCGATTCCAGCCAGGTCCTCTGCCCTTCATCATTAGTAAAGCTCTTGGGAGGGAACTCAACTGAGGATCAAGACGGCCCGGTGTTTCCTCATAGCCACCAAGCTCTCAGAGTTGCAGCAACAGAAGACACAAGGCCGAGTCCCAGAGCTCAGCTGAATGCTGCCGAGTGAGGGTGGCAGCTATTCAAAGGAACCTCAGAGGAGGTAGGTAACCCTCCCACTTATTTCACCTGCATTGCAGAGCTGGGAGCCGCTCACTCCAGGCTGTGTAAGGCCTACCTTGACAGAGGGTGAAGAACTGGGCAGGCGGTGATTTAAAAAACCTCCGATTTCCCCATCAGCCACACCGCGACAGGCACCTTTCTCCTCTAAATGATGAAATCCCCCAACAGTCAACTGTGCCTTGCAGGGAGTCTGAGGACAGGTCACCTCATCCGCCCTCTCTCCTCCAGCTCTGGCTCCCTCTGTGCAGCAGAGGCCTGGCTCTCCGGGGAGCACTAAGCTGTTTGGTGAAGTTAGGCCACCTGGATTTGAGGCTACGGATTCACTTTGTGCCAAAACTCCAACTTCCACCACCTTTTTTCTCCCCATCTTAAGTAGGGTAAGTTCCCAGGAGGCAACACTAAGTCCCTCTAGACCAGGGATTCCCAATCTGGAGTTCACGAACACAAAGGCATTTGTGCAAAGATTTTATGGAGCCCGTAAACTTGGATGGGCTGGGGTGGGGGACAGAGTTAACAGGTTAGTGATCTGTCCAGGTAAACAGCCAACCTGAGTCTTCCTGATTCCCACACTCTATCCACTGCACTCCTCAACTGCCCAAAGGATCCGTGACACAAACAAAGAGCCTAGATTCATCGGCCTCTCAAGCATGACTCAACAGGAGGATCTTTCAATATGGCTTTATTTTTCCAAGTTATTTCTTCCCACAGTTTGCAGGGACCCTGAATTGATCAATCTATTGACCTTACTGATCACCCGTAGGCAGAAGACTCCTTAGCCCAAACACATCAGAGCTCATTTAAAACAAACAAAAAGAGAAAGGTGGGGGAGACCCCCAAACCATGCCTTGGGAGCTGGGTTCAGCCTCTGTGTGCAGAGGCTCAGGAAGACAGAATGGGTAAGTGGATCACCCAAAGACTTCTGGAAGAGAGGGCCCATTTTGCTCCCAGAGGAACCTGCATAAAGGGTATTTTAAAGGAGGGATCCAAGAGTATGACAGGAAATGTAGTACCCCTCCCATTAAATTGCTCCCCTCAAATTCTCTACCAGAAATCCCATGTCGGAGATGAAAACACTGCACACCACAGTCAGAAGGGGCCCGAGAGATCGTGCATTCATTTGGAAAGAAGTTGAGGTCCAGTGCACAGAAGGGCCTTCACCATCTGGACTTCCCAACTCTACCCAGGCTCCCCCCACTAGGCTGAGCTGTAATGCCAGTTACCCGAGGGCAGCCTGAGGACCTGTCCAGAGGTTCTGACAAGGCCAGGCAGGGGGCTAGGGTAGGAAAGGCTGCCAAGGACCAAGGGCCTGAGGAGAACATAACAGTCCCACCCATGAGCAGTGGAACAGTGAAGAGGCACCTTCCGGATGCAGTGTGGTGGGTGGCATGAGTTCAGGAATATGGGAACTGTTGTCCACAGCAGCTGTGCAGTGACCCCAGCCCGAGCGCAGCAGCTGAAGGGCTGCTTGGCCAGAGCTGGGGTGGAGAGCAGGAAAGCCAGATGGAAACATCCACCACCCACACTCCTGTCCTTAGCCTTGGAAGTAGAAAAATGGAGGCAGCATCTGATGGCACCGGATGATGCCCGACTTTGTGCTAGACCCCCTGGGGTCATCTAAATTTGCTTCTGCCCTGAGCATGGAGGTGGGCAACAGTGAGGACTGGTCTCCACCCCACCCTCGAGCATCCTTGGTCTGTTTTTCAAGGCCTGGCTCCAGGCCCAGATGACTGCAGTCAACCTTGACCTTCCTCTGACCTCCCATGATAATCCATTGTGTGCTGAGACTCCCAACTAAACCCACGTTCTTTCAAGGCAGAGACCACCCATCTCTGCTACTGTGCTTGTATGCAGAAGCAGGCAGGTAGCAAGTGCATATGCAGTAGGGACCAGCAGAACCAGTCTGATGGGCAGGTCTGACGCCTTCAACTGACTAGCTAGGCCCCCCAAACTTTTCTGGAATATCCTTTGCCCAAACAAACAGACCCCAGAGGTCAACCTGTACACAAGGGCCCAATCTGGATGCATGGAGTGTAGGCACCACAAAGCAGGAGCCAAACTGGTGGGAGAGAATGGAGTTGGAGAACTTGGAAGTGGAAGGCAATCACCCACCCCTCCCAACCCCATGCATGAACTCTTTGCAGAGCCTCCTAAGGGGCGGCACCAGCTTCTGCTCAAGAGGCTTCCCACAACAGGCAGCTTGCCACCTTCCTGGGAAGTCGCTATGTTCTCCCGACAGCGAATCACAATCTGCCCCTCTGTGACGTCCACCTAGCGGCCTCCCTTCTGAGACACAAAATAAATCCAATGCTTCTGGCCTGAGGTTCAGTTATTTGAAAACAGAGATGCCATTTTCTGGGGCTGTCTTCTCTGTGACAGGCTGAACATTCCTCTTTCCCATGTCAGAGGAAGGAACCTCCTAGGAGCAGAAAGATGGGAGCGACCAACCCAGGAGGTCAGAGCTGAAAGGTACCTTAGAGGTCATCTAGTCCAACGCCCTCATTGTAGAGGAGACTGGGGTTTGGAGACACGGAGATGACGGCCAGACTGGAACTAGCGTCCGGGCATCCCAACAATCCCAGCCTCCTCTGCTGCGGCTGCTGCCCGGCTCCCCAGGATGGAGCCCAGCTCTGCCACCACGGCTGCAGAGGGGCAGAGACGACGCACCTCCACGGTGAGTGCCTGCCCTAGGCTGTGCTCTCTTGGAGGCAGAGCCCCCTCCCACAGAGGCGCTGTCAGGGGAGCAGGAAAGCTGGGGCCTTGGAGCTAGAGAAGGCCCAAAGCCTCGCTGCAGGGGAGCTTCCCACAGAATGCTGGAGTGGTCACTGGACCTCCTGGGGCACCGACTCCCTCCCTCCCGAGGCAGCCCATTCCACCTCTGCCAGGCTCCCAGTGCTGGGGAGTCCTTCCTTCTAGTAACCCGAACCCTGTCTCCCCATCACATGCCCCTGTGCTGCTAGGTCTCTATGGCCGCCAGGACACGGCTGGTGCCTTAGGATGTTTTGACCACGCTCTCACCCCACTCCCCAAGTCTTAATCAAAGTCTTCTCCCTGGTGGCCCTCTGGCAGAAGCCTCTGCCTTGACCCCATCCCTGGGCACCCAGACCTTCCAAGTGAAGGCAGAGAGAAAGCCCAGCCAGGACCCCCGGCCTGGGAAAGAGTCCTCAAGTTTCCGGTTCTCTTTAATTCAGGTGTGCACTGTTAACATGAGCTCTGAGGTCTAGAGCATGGCAGGTCCAAAGGGGAGAGCTCAGCTCACCCAGGACAAGCCTCACCCGTGTGTCCCTGGCAGGCCCAAGCTCCTCTGTTACCCTCCAAGGAAGCTTTAGGACACCGACAATGCAGTGTTTTGGCAAGGCCTCGGGCTGAGCTGCCTCACCAGTGACAGGGCAGGCAGGCAGGCAGGAGGCTGGAAGGCGGGCCTGGGCAACTCTCTAGGTCTCTCGCCTTCCTGGCCCTGGAGTGGAGAGAAGAGCAGAAGGTAGGACCGAGCTGGACGGGGGTGGGCGGGGGACAAACGGGCAGAGACGTGGCTGGACTGAATGGAAGCTCCTGGATGCTCCCTCCGGGGTGGCTGGCTCAGTGCTGCTTGGCGAGGGTAGAGGGGGCCACTTCACTGCTGCTTCATCTTCAAAGATATTCTCTGTACTGTCTTATAGAGGAGGCCAAAGTGCTAGGACAGAAGGGAGAACTGCTAAGTCCGCATCTCAGAATCAGGCGGAGGATCAAGCCCAATCTCTTCATTTTACAGAAGGGGAGGGACCTGTCCAGAGTCACACAGAGCCCAGACATGAGCAGACCCTCCTACCCTCCAATCGGGATGGCCAGGTAGCTACTACCTCCCCCTCCCAGCCCATCCTCCACCTGCTGCTAGAATCCCCACACACACATCTAGAGACAGGGCCGCAGCCAAAGTCTCAGATGCGACCCTGGATGTCAGCTAGTCCAAGCCCCTCACTGGACAGATCAACTGACAAGCATTTATTAAGCACCTCCTGTGTGCCAGGAACTGGAGATGCAGAGAAAAAGCAAGCTCTTGCCCTCATGGAGCTTGCTCAGCGGGGGAGGCGGGTACAGATGCGTGGAAGGCAACCTCAGAATGGGAGGCGGGCAGGGGGTGAGCGGCATTGGAAACAAATGCAGAAGGAATCCGGGGCAGAGGTGTGGAGGGAGGGCATTCCAAAGAGCTGGTCGAGTACAAGGCAGAGCCCGGGCCTGAAGCCCAAGCCCTCTGACTCCAAATCCAGGCTGCCTCCTTCCACTCCCCCCACTTTACATCTTCACTGACTTCACTGCTTAAACATTTCTAGTAGTTCCCAAGTTTCTCTGCCTGGCATTCAAGGCCCTCCCCAATCTGATGCCACGCTGCACCTTCTCAGTCTTAGCACCCATTTCTCCCCTCTGCAAACTCAAGGCTGGGTAATTTCCTCCCCCAGGCTATCCCCCACTTCTTCCTATGCCTTTCTTCCTCATCCTTATTTTTTTAGTGCCACCTCTTCCAGACAGCCTTCCTGGACTGCCTGCCCCTTGGACCATACCTGGTACTTTCTGTACCCCTCTAGTATATTTATCATGTAATATCATGTATTATAGTGGTCTGTGTCAATGTCTTATCTCCCTTCCACAGCCCCTCACTAGAATATGAGCTCCATGAAGGCAAGACTATGTATGTCATGTCTAGTAGTTACTTAATAAATGCTTGTTGATTATCTCAGAGCTGCACCTCTCCCAGGACAGGCCTCTGCCCTCAGAAGGCAGTAAGAGTCGGTGAGCCCAAGGCCACGCTGGTTAAACACCATGACATTTGTCTGAACACCATGCTACACGGCGGCAATGAGGTGAGGAAAGTGCCCCGCAGCTCTGCTCTCCTTCTCTGCCTCCATGGCCAGCCTGAGGAGAAAGGGCAGCCCTGGCTTCTTCATCACAACTGAACAATGACTAGTTTGTGTGGTGAGAAGCAAGTTACTGAAACACCAGGCCTCGATCTCCTCATCTGTCAAATGGGGATGATGCTTACCTCACAGGGTTGCTGTGGGGATCAAGGGTGGTGCAAATTGGCCAAAGAAAGCCCCATGCTTGCCCTCCCCTCTTCTCCCTCCCCCAACTCACCTGGACTGCAAAGTAAGCCACTCCCAAGTAGGCTCCTATGCAGAGGGCCAGGAGTAGATCAAAGATGGCTGGCTTGACCCTGAAGGAAAGGAAAGGAGAGGAAGCCAGGTCAAGTCAATAAAAGAGCCAGTGCTGGCTGGAAGCAGGCTTGGAGACACCCATTCAGACAGACAGACAGACATAGACACAGACATAGACACACACACACACACACACACACACACACACACACACACACACACACACACACACACACACAGAGCCCACACCACCAAGACTCCACCTACCTGTAGGCATTCATCACCTGCTTCAGCTGGTCATAGAACACAAACTCAGGGTCCCTGGAGGAGGAAGAAATTGGCCTTTCAGCAGAAGTGAAATAAATGGCCTCTGATATCTTCAGCCTCTTCCACTTCTAAAGGACACTGGTGACCCCTTCTTGGCTTCTCCCTTCCCTATATATCACCCAATCCTGATCAGTGCGGCGCACAGGGAAAAGGATGGGGAGAGGAGGGAGAGACAGAGGGAAAAGAAGAAAAAGGGAAAGAGAGAGAGGGAGGGAGAGATGGGAAGAGAAAAAGGAGAGAAGAAAGAGAGGAGGAAGAGAGAGAGAGGGGAAGGAAAAAAGAAAGAGAAGACAATGGCTTTTCTGCAGAGGTCTACTGGGAAATGGTTTCACCTCTTGGCAGAAAGTGTTGGACCAGAAGCAAAGGAGGAGACATACATTTTCTGACACAGCTGATGTGTAGATTTGATTGTCTTGTTACAAGGGATTTTTTTTGGGGGGGTGGGAAGAAGGGAGAATGGGGTAGGGAAGAAGGGGCTAGTGATGGGGAAGAGAGGAGAGAAGAAAGCACCAATGAAGCATTTTTTTTTAAATGCACAGAACAGAACAGAGAAAAACTCAGGAGTCAGAGACAAGCAGGACAGCTTTTGAACAGAGGTGCTGAAATTATCATATCCTTTAAAAATAAATTCAAAAGTCCAGTCAGCCAGTGACAAAGCATTAAATGAAATGAGGATGACGAAAAAAAGATGTGAATTGGGAACGTGAGGAGAAAATGTAAAAATGAGAAATGAATAAAGAATTAAACTTCCATTTGCAGACAAAATGCACGGACTCAATCCTGAAGTCAGACACCCAAAAACTCAGCACCTTCACCATCATCACAGTGGGAGACAGCGTTGTGTCCTCTGGGGCTGAGGGGCAGGTCAGAGAGGAGGATGGGGCTTTCTTTCCCTTGGCCTCGGGCGTCCCAGCCAAAGACGGACACGAGACACTAGCCAGGCAGGGGGAGGGGAGGGAGATGGGGGGGGGGAGAACTCTGGGTGTGAAATGCTGCACACACTCTCAGACTAGGCTGGTGCATTGGTTAGCTCTGCCAAACTTGTCCCCCCACCTTTTAAAAATCTCTATTACAAGGGACAGCTTGCTGGGTAGGGGAGAGGGGAGGGATAGATTCAGAAATGAATGTGACGTATAAAACAAAAAAAAGAAAAGGAAATCATTAGAGATTTTTAAAAAACACAGAACCACCCCATGTGAGGGACCCGCTCTCCTCTGGCTCCTGGCTTGCAGACAACAGGACAGCCACCAGGCAGAGTCCTGCCGACCCAGGACCCCAGCCCCATCACCCCTGCCCTCCCTCACCGTTTGTCTGCCTTCACGTGGTGCTGTCTGACATCCTTCAGGTAGCGGCTCAGGTAATATTCTAAGGTGTTGAGGAAGGTACTGTCTTTGTCCACGAGCTGGGCGGCGCGGGGCTGGTTAGTGAGCCAGTCCATCACAGAGTCTATCTGCTCCTGCTGGATCTGCTGCGAAGAGCAGGGTTGCCAGAGACTCGGCCCACTCATTCGAGCTCCTCCCCTCCTTGGTTCCCACCCAACCCAGGTACTGCAAAGGCCCCCAGGTCCCTTACCATCTGTTCTGTGAAGACCTGGAGATCAGCAGGGGTGCCCTGCAGAGAGAGGAGGAGGAACACAGAGTGCTGAGGCCGGACAGGACAAGGGCCAGGGCCAGGGGCAGGAAGGGGGCCAGGGCTTTCTTACCTTCTTAGTCAGGTTGTAGATAACTCGGGTCAGGGCCTCTGCAATGATTCTGGTGTTGCGGGTGAGTGTTTTGGAATCTACCCGTGACCTTCACAGGAAGAGAGGTAGAAGAAGCTCAGGGGACCAGAAATGAGAACATCTCTTTTCACATTCTTCCACCATCAGGAATTCGGGGGGAAGTCCCCAAAGCACACTGCATCCCTGGCCATCGTCTCCAGGGCTGTGGCTCCTCCTCTCACATGCCCCACGCTGGTGGGATAGGGAGAGGATCGTGGGGTCAGATTTAGAGCTGGGAGGAACCTTAGAGACAACCTGACATACCCAGCATTCATACCACACCTACTATGTGCCAGGCCTTGTGCTTTACAAACATTCCCTCTGTGATCTTCACAACCACCCTGGGAGGGAGGGCTGTTCATTATCCCCATTTAACAGATGAGGAAACAGAGGCGAAATGTCTTGCCCAGGGTCACAGTTAGTGGCAGAGGCAGATTTGCAGCCATCACCAACATCTTCAATCCACTTCAGCCCCTATGAGGGTAAATGTTTAACAGGATCTCCCCCCCAAAAAAAAGCCTGTGCAACACACTTTTAAGTTGAAGCTGCATTATTAACATCTTCTCCATCTCCTTAAATCTAAAAGTAGCAACAAAACAATAAACTGAGTCCTGGCTGTACTGTTTGCTGATCTCCAAGATGAAAATGCTCACACCAGAAATTTAACAATCGGCTCTCATGAGCCAGGATGAGCTGGCGCCAGCACGGTCCTCGACCTCCCCATAACCCATAGCTGCACCACTTTCATGAATCTGAAATCTGAAATTTCCTTTACTGATCGCGACCTCCTCTCCTCTCTCTCCTTTCACTCCACTCCTCCAAAAACTGTTCCTTGTGCTTTTCTCAGTGAAACTTTCAGCAATCTCATCCCTCCTGGTTTGCCTAGCTCATGAAGCCCTGCCTTGTCCTCGTCATCCATTCGCAGACTGGAATCTACAACCACACAGTCATCCTCCATCTGATTCCCTTGTCCTCTGGTCTGCTATCATTCACCCCATACCAATTATCACCCTTGAATATCATTTCTGCCATCTCTGTGCAAACAACTGAAAGGAGTCACTCAACCACTGTGGCCGAGTTCAGGAAAAATTAGCATCATGTGCCCTGGCTATGTGACCATAGGTAAGTCACTCTGACTTCTCAGTGCTCCTAGGAAAACACTTTTAAAATAGGTACTCCTCATCTAGGATTATTTTTTGTTGACATTTATTACTTCCTTATAATTTGTTTCCTTTGTAATACTTTGTATTTTATTTTATACATTAAAACAAGATTCGGAGAAGGGGTCCGTCCATAGGCTGCACCAGACTCACTGACATAAAGGTCCGGGACGTTAAAAAAAAGTGAGGACCCTTGCTCTGAAGGGATACATTATAGAGCAGTGATGAAATGCCATTAAGAAGTCCCTCCCCCACCAGAAAAAAAATTATTGTCAACTAGGCCTTCACTGAATCACAGTCCTCTGTTTCTTTTTACTGGTGTTAAATTTATCTAGGTCTAACAGGGACAAACTGGGGTCCCACATTATCACAGTTTTACTGTCTATTTGTCCCTGTATCTCAATTCATTGACTATGGTAACGTTCTGCAAAATGTACCTTCCCTGTTTATCTTTTGTCTGTTTTGCTGCTGTTTTGTCTGAGATCATGACTGCCACCTGTCTTTTTTTTTTTAATTCAGCTGAAACCTAACAAATTTTGCTGTATAAGACACATTACCTTCTGCTTCAACCCCATACTTTAACTATGTGCATCTTTCTTTCACCTGTGCCTCTTGCAAACACATTACTGGATTATGGTTTCTAATCATTCCCCTGCCCTCTTCTGCTTTATGGGTGAGTTTATACCATCCACATTTACAGTATATTGTTAATTGTCTGATTCCCTCTATCCTATTCTCTTACACTTTTCCTTGTTTCCTGCCCCTTCTTTAAGAATTTGTTTTGCTTAAGACCAATCTTTCCCTTACTCTACTCTAGATTTTATCCCCCCCTTTCCCCTTCTCCCTTCTCCTATTTCCCTACTAAGTGAAACACACTTCTGCATCCAATCCTATGTGTATTCTCTCCTTTTTACCACGTCAGATGAGAGTGAAGTTCAAGTGTTACTCGCTCCCCTCATAACTCCCTTGTTTGTATAGACAGACTTCTCCTTCTGCAGCCTCATTATGTAAGATCATTTCCCCATCCTTCCACTCTCTTCCTCCCCCAGGGTTTTCCTCTTCCCCTCCCTTTCCATTCTTCTTTTAAGATCATTAAAACATAACAAGACCTCTTTCCAGGTCCTCTATCTAATTATACTCCCTCTATGAATTCTAATGATGACAGAATTCTAAGTGGATACAAAGTATCATTTCCCTAAATTAGAGCACAAACAATTTATCTTTGTTTAGTCCCTGTGATTGCTTATTCATCTTTACCTTTTTATGTTTCTTGACTTGGGTGTGTATTTCAAATTTTTCTACTCGGTTCTGGGTTTGTTTTTCTTTTAAATAAAGAATACCTGAAAATCCTCTATTTTGCCAAGGGTCTATTTTTTCTTCCCATAGGATTATATTCAATTTTGCTGGATAAATTATTCCTGGTTTTAAGTATATTATCTTTTGCTTTCTGGAAAATTGCATTCCAAGCTCTCCACTCCTTCATAGGGATGGCTACTAAGTCATGTGTGATCCTGACTGTGGCTCCTCAGTACTTGAATTTCTTCTTCCTGGCTGCCTGCAGTATTTATTTCTGTGTCCTGGAAGCTCTGGATTTTGGCTATACCATTCCTGGGAATCTTCATCCTGCAGTTTCTTTCAGGATGTGACCAGCAGATTCTATTTCCACTTTGCCTACTGGTTTTAAGAAATAGGACCAGTTTTCTTTACAATTTCTTTTTTTTTCTTTTAAAAAGGTTTTTTTTAACATTTTCTTTTTAAATTTTGAGTTCCAAATTCTCTCCCTCCCTTCTACTCCTAACTCACAGCTGAGAAAGCAAGCAATTGTGATATCAATTACATGTGTGAAATTATGCAAAACATTTCCACATTAACTATAGTGCCAAAAAAAAAAGCAAGAAAAATAAAGTGAAAAACGTTATACTTCAATTTGCACTCAGGGTTCATCATTTCTCTCTCTGAAAGTGGATAGCATTTTTTCACCATGGGTCACTCTGGAATTGTCTTGGAATACTGTATTGATCAAAGTAGCCAAGTCTTTCACAGTTGATCATCATTACAACACTGCTGTTACTAAGCCCAATGATCTCTTGGTTCATCTCACTTCACTTTGCATCAGTTCACAGAAGTCTTGCCGTGTTTTTCTGAAACCACTCCCCATGTCATCTCTCATAGCACAATAGCATTCCATCACAATCATATGCCACAGCTTGTTCAGCCACTCCCCAATTGATGAGCACCCCTTTGATTTCCAATTCTTTGCCACCACAAAAAGAACAGCTATATACCTATACATATACCTATATACATATATACATACACACACACACACACACACACACACACACATACACACACACACACACACATACATATTATGCGGTACAAGTCTAGTAGTGGCATCGCTCAAAGGATATGCACAATTTCATAGCACTTTGGACATAGTTCCAGATTGTCCTCCAGAATGATTGGACCACTTTACAACTGTAACAACCATGCTTCAGTGTCCCTATTTTCCTCCATCCCTTTCAGCATTTGTTTTTTTGACAGTTGTGAGGTGGTACCTCAGAGTTAATTTGCAATTCTCTTATCAATAGTGATCTAGAGTTTTTCTTACAGCTATAGATAGCTTTGATTTCTTCTTCTGAAAACTACTGGTTTAAATCCATTCACCATTTATCAACTGGAGAATCATATTTTTATAAATTTGATTCCCCTCTATAATTCAGTATGTTTAAAAATAAGGTTTTTATCAGAGAAACTTGATATTACTTCACTGTTTATGGCACCCTTTAGCAAAACTTAGTTGCCCTCTCTCTCTCTCTCTCTCTTTTTTTTTTTTTTTTAGGCAATCAGGGTTAAATGACTTGCCCAGGGTGACACAGCTAGTAGGTGTCTGAGGCCAAATTTGAACTCTGGTCCTCCTGACTCCAGGGCAGGTGCTCAAAACACTGTGACAGCTAGCTGCCCTCCCCCTTTTTGGGGTAGGACAATCAGGGTTAAGTGACTACTATCTCTTTTAGTTAGGTTTAGTTTTGCTTTTGCTTTGCCAAAGATCACAACTGCTATCACTACTTTTTTAAATTCAACTGAAGTATATTAGACTCTGCTCCAGCCCTTTATTTTAACTTTCTGTTTCAAGTGTTTCATTTTTTTCCCCTTAGGTAACTGGGGTTTGTGACTTGCCCAGGGTCACATGGCTAGTGAGTATTATGTATCTGAGGCCAGATTTGAACTCAGGTCCTCCTGACTCCAGGGCCACTGCTCTATCCACTGTGCCATCTAGCTGCCCCTTGTTTCAAGTGTTTCTTAGAAACAACATTAACTTTTATAACTTCTTAAAATATGATGTCTCCGCTCTTTTTTTGGCCGTGGCTTTAAGGAACTACAATGAGTCTTAAATTATCTCTCCTGTTTTCCAGGTCAGTCGTTTTTGCTATGAGATACCTTCCATTTTCTTCTAGTTTTCAGTCATCTGAGTTTGTTATTTCTTGTCGCATGGTGTCTTGGCTTCTATTTGGTCCATTCTAATTTTCAGGAAGTTTTTTTCCTAGGGTAAGGTTTTGTATCTTGATCCAAGTTATTAATTCTCTTTTCAAATCTTTCTTCCTTAACTCTTGTTTTTTCCCCTATTTTTTCCTCTAGTGGTCTCATTCGGTTTTTAAAATAATCTTTAGCCCTTTTTTAAAATTCTTGCTTCATCTGTTCCAGAAATTATAGTTGAACTTGTGTCCAAGCTGTTTTCCTTTGAGGCTCTGCTTACAGATGCTTCATTCTCTTTTTCAGTATTTGTGTCCTGAGCTTCCTTGTCACCTATCCACAGCACTTCATGGTGCCATTTTTTTCCTATTTGCTCATTCTTCCAGCTTCCTTC